AGGAACTAAAGGTAATCGCTGGCCAAGCTTCTGCGAGGTTAGGCGTTCCTTAACTGATCTTAAACGCATTAAAAAGTTTGTTCAAATTAAATATCCTCGATTTTGAATTAGTTTACATTATTAAAATCTCTGTAGAAAACTATTATATGGAACACTGATACACTTTCTTCTGGAAAATGAACAACTACAGTATCCTCATAATACTTGTATGTGGCCAAAGTCTAATTCTCTAAGTTTATTTATTAGCTGTACCCATTTAAATCGTGTCCCAAATAGTTTTAGGAAGAAGTTTCCTGCTGATGTGAAAGTTCTGTGCCAGACAAAAATCGTAAGATCACAGTTCATCTGACTTTCTATAACATAGAACAATACCTCTTGGGTGTAGCTAGTTCTCGAATTTAAAGCACACTAGAAAAACGTGTTTAAAGAAACACCGTTAATCAGTTGCCAGTGCTCCACAATCAAACTGTGAACACAAATTTCCTCTAATTACCAACATCTAACATATTTACGCTCACATATGTGGAAAGCAGTTGTATATAAAGTGAATTAAACAAGGCTCCTGATTAGCCCTAAAATGAACTCACTCACTCCCATCGAAATTAATTCGGCATTATTCTTCTCTACAAACCGCGAACGCCGTAGCATTCAGAGGCTTTGTGTTTGCTGAATTTCGCGCGTGTTTCGGTAGTGTTGGTTGCCTTTCAATTAGAAGTGTCTGCTTTGTAGCCGACAGCCGCATGGTACCAAACGATAGTAGGCAACAAAGCGATCGCACACACACACACACATATAACATCGTGCCCTCACAAATATGCGAATGCGAGGAGTATGTTTTGCACCAGCTTTTTGGAGGTAGAGGGGAGGGGGAACGCTAAACCGTTTGAATACTAAACAGCTTTTAACGAGTGTCAGGGTAGGGTACGTGTGTGTGTGTGTAAAAGGCGAACATTTTTAGGCCAGCTAGGCATGGGTGTCACTAATGAATACAAACAAAGAATACTTTCGGAAGTGAACCAGCGAGCACGTTCAACACGTGCTCGATATGTATGCACTACTATATATGGTATAAAGTAGGAAGTGTGGTTTTTTGGACTCATACTGCTACCTCATCTTGTGGAGGATTAATTGTACTTGTTGCTGGTGTTGTTGTCAGAGTTGTAATTTTTGTCCCAAAAGGAAAGGTCAGAGACTCTATAAAGTATATATACAAGTATAAAGGATCTTGTATAGAAAACTTTTTCATTTAACGAGATATCTTTAAGAAATTTGGCACAGATTATTATCGAAGGTAATGTTTCAATTTCCAAACATATTGTTCAGATCTTACGACTACAGCATATAGCATCCTTACAAGCTGACCGCTTAAAAACAAGTTCCTGTAAGGAAAACTTGTACTTATGAAGGTTATTATAATTTCGACGCCGCCGATTATTATTAAAGTCTTTCAGCGAATAATATTTTCCAATCCCGATAAATAAATCGTGGATTGGTAGTTGGTGCGCTATAAACTTTTGATTAACAATCATTCCAAGGAAACCTTGATGATGATTACAGAATTTTTTTGCGCAAAGCAAAACGACAAAATATTTTCTATTTAATACGTTTTTTATCATTTCTATATGTATGTTTAGTTTATAACGATAGAATATACATACCAGTATTGGTCAAACCTATCATGTATGTAAATTTAGAGATTTACAGGTGCTAATCACTGCGCAACGAAATCCGTAATAAATTAGCATTTAATTTAAATCACAACAACAAATGTTTAAATGTTGACTGACAGTATGGGTTCGATGTCTGATTGAAAAACTAAATCGACTAAGCAAACAAACCGCAAAACAGCAAAATATTTTTTTTATCTCATTTACGAAGTTAATATGTGTTAATTTATGTTAGTAGGCATATATTAGACGTGTAAAAAATAGTGTGATTTTAAATATTTAATTGGTAAAAAATTTATTTCTACTGGCATTTTGTGAATAGAAGAAATCTGAATTAACGTCGAATTCACAAATGAATGAGCAAGCTAATGGCCACAAAATTGGCTAATGGTATAATTGAGAAAAAATTCAAATTTTTCATTAAAATAAATATATAACGGCAAAGCGTAACGAATTTAATTAAAAATGTCACTATTAAAACCTATTATAACTTCACATTATGTAGAGCTAAACATATTTAACTATTGGATCACCAAGGTTCACGGTGCAAAATTAATTAACACTAACACAAAAGAAAAATGTCTAAGCTAGTGAATAATTACACGCAATAAAATATATGGTTGTCAAATATCTCCCTTCCGCTTTTTTGTCTTTTGAATTTCGCGGCTATGTACAAAGCGCTACAGAGCTCGTATCTGGCAACACTATACATAATTTGAAAGGTCTTGACGTAACCTACGAAACAACGCTATGCATGATTAGTTTGGATATTGCGTTCAACAGTTATAGACGTGTAAACATGGAGTTCACTAACGCCGTTCCGTGAGATTAATGGTGTTTTGGGGGATGGTACTCTATCACTTCGAACCGCGGAGGAATGGTTTCGACGATTCAGAGCCGGTGAAAACGACACCATGGATAAGCCAGCCGGCGGAAGACCTGTGACGACAAATACCGATCAAATCATGGAATACATCGAGTTAGAACGGCATATGGCATCTCGTGACTTCGCCCAGGAGATGGGAGTTAGTCCCCAAACCATTTTGAACCATCTGCAGAAGACTGGATACAAAACAAAGTTTGATGTTTGGGTGCCGCATAATTTGACGCAAAAAAACCTTCTGGACCGAATCAACGCCTGCGATATGCTGCTGAAACGGAACGAACTCGTCCCATTCTTGAAGCGGATGGTGACTGGCGACGAAAAATGGATCACATACGACAATATCAAGCGAAAACGGTCGTGGTCGAAGGCCGGTGAATCGTCCGAAACAGTGGCCAAGCCGTGATTGACGGCCAGGAAGGTTTTGCTGTGTGTTTGGTGGGATTGGAAGGGAATCATCCACTATGAGCTGCTCCCATATGGCCAGACGCTTAATTCTACCATCTACTGCGAACAACTGGACCGCTTGAAGCAGGCGATCGACCAGAAGCGTCCAGAATTGGCCAACAGGAAGGGTGTAGTGTTCCACCAGGACAACGCCAGACCACACACTTCGTTGATGACTCGTCAGAAGCTACGGGAGCTCAGATGGGAGGTTTTATCGCATCCACCATATAGCCCGGACGTAGCGCCAAGTGATTACCACCTGTTCCTGTCCATGGCGAATGCCCTTGGTGGTGTGAAGTTGAACTCAAAAGAGGCTTGTGAAAAGTGGCTGTCCGAATTCTTCGCAAATAAGGAGGGGGGCTCCTACGAGGAAGGTATTATGAAGTTGCCGTCTAGATGGAACAAAACGGCGCATATTTTAACTAAATCCGATCACTGTAACACTTTTTATAAAGCATTGAATGAAGAGCAAAAAAGCGGAAGGGAGATATTTGACAACCTTATATATGCACTTCACAGGCACATTATATTCCTATTTCCAACAGGTTTCCTACACTTGATAAACTTAAATGTTATAATCTCCAATAATCATGATAATAGTAGTAACTCGATTGACTCATCAAGTCTAGAGAAAACTCTGCATATGCAGTTTAATTGAAGTAAAGAATCAAAGCTCGTATATCTCGTAAGTCCCCAAATTTAACTATAACAGTGCTGTCTTTTTAATAATTAAACTGATATATAATAAATGCGTAGATATTTTTTTATAGTAATTTTTAAATTATCATCAGCAATAAATATTCCCTTGAGCCTAAGCAAAAAAGTTCAGTTTTCCAAATTACCACCAAAACGGAACGAATTTCGTCTTCATTCCTTAAATTGGATCATAGAACATTTTACGAAGCAGATCTTCGACAGAAACGAAAAGTAATACGAAGCCAAATGTGCAGAATAGGAAAAACTTTGAAAAAGTGCGGTTGACTTTTTTTCAATTTAGAGCATTAGCAGAGTCTAAATTTTAAGCAGAGACTCTCAATAACTGACATATTTCACTCTACATTTTGGTTAAATTATAAGTTATAAAGCGTTTTGCTACTAAGCTTGTTTGAAAACTTTTAAATTTTTTTGGTAAAATAGAGTCGAGTAGAGGTAGTTGGTTGAGAATAATATGCTTTAACACAGAGTTGTATTCTGCTAATGCTTTACCTTGGAAAAAAAGACAACCGCACTTTTCAATTGACCTACCTCGGTGCTGTAATGGCTTAAGATATAGTAAATCTACTTTTCAAAATACTACACTTCAACGAAACAGTTGCTGACTCAAGACAAAACGTTAAAAATAGCACTTTTCAAATTTTATAATGTCTTTTATCCGCTTGTCAACCTAAATGAAGTGAACAGCCTCACAGTTTAAATAGCAGGCAAAGCGAAAACCAGATAATAATTAATTTGAAGAAAAAAAAAACGAAGTATATGTTTTAGATATATTCAAATTAGTACATATGTTAGTAGATAACCCAAAAAAATGGTGTAAAACATGCAACATATTCGATCGTCGTGTCAAATTTACACACCGAACACACATATCTACGAGTGTCTACACATACATACACTCGTACTCGTAAATTTTAATTTGCGTGATCGAGAGACAGCAAAATGAATTCATATTGCACAGCTGTGAGACACGACTAAACTTATTCAAATTGAACCGTGTAGCTGGGCGTTTTAGTGATAATAATATAAAATAACAACATCTGATCATTATTTATTAATCAGCTAACTAATTTACTAAGTTTTTAGTGAATCTGTTACGAATTTTATTGAGTCCATATTAAATGCGTCGCTTCAGTTGTGGCGCGGCGGTTACCCCTTATCAAGACAGCAACATCACAAGTTATTTGCACTTAGAAAATATGCAAAAATGCACGTCCCGATTGCGATATACGAACTTGAGCATTGCACAAATTTATTGCTTCGATTGCTTTGCAAGCTCTTATAGGTGAACAAAATAAGTGAACTTAATTTTTGATATAAAATAAAAGCTGAGCTCTTCGACTGACATCAAAAACAGTTCATCTCTCACAAGCGAAGCAACACACTTGCACTCGTTGAAACCGAAAATGCTTGCCTTCATTGTGAGTAGAATTGATAGACTTATTCCTAGCACCAATATAAACAAAACAAAAAAAACATGACTTATTCTAATTTCCTAGATATTAGCTTTGTTCGCCGTAGCGCGTGCTGATGTTGGTGGTTACAACTACCCATCCGCAGGCAGTTCTTTTGGCGGATTGAGTGGCTACCACGGCAGTGATGGAGCTGCACACTTGAGTGCACCTATTGGCGGTCATAGTGTTGGACCCGTGAGCAGTGGCGGTATTGGTGACTTCGGTAGTCCACTCAGCGCGCCTGTTAATGCTGGTCAGGCAGCACCTGAATTCCAGAAGGAATTCATCACCTACACCGCACCAGAAGCTGAATTCGATGATGATAAGTCTCTGGGTGACTTGTCTGGCTCGTTGAAGAAGAACTTGCGTGTAATCTTTATTAAGGGACCCGAAAACAATGGACTCTCAGAAGCTGCCCTCCAATTGGCCAAACACGCCGGTGAAGAGAGAACCGCCGTCTATGTGCTGCAGAAACAAAACGACATTTCCGACTTGGCTCAGCAATTGCAGAACCTCAACAGACAGAATACGAACAAACCCGAAGTGCACTTCGTTAAATACCGCACACCCGAAGATGCTGCTCACGCTCAACATGCCATCCAACAGCAATACAACGAGTTGGGTGGAAACTCAGTGTCGCATGATGGTGGTTTGGCACCAGTCCTGAACTATGCTTCGCAAGCCCCAGCTGCACCCGTCGCTCCCACCAACTCATACATTCCACCCGCAGCACCTGTAGCTCCTGTTGCTCCAGTCGCCTCAGTTGCGCCATCGAACTCGTACATTCCACCTGCAGCACCGGCCAACACCTACATTCCTCCCGCCAGCCAGCCACAGGCACCAAGCGACGCATACTTGCCAATTCTTAAGTTCTAAGGTGATCGCCGCAGTATGAGACGTTTGGAGTTACGGTCGTACAGAGATGCGACATAAGTTAGACAAATTTTTCTTAAATTTGCCATTATTGTATAATGATGTTCATGAATATGTTACTCAACTAGTTTTATTTTGTACCTAAATAGTTAATAAAAAACTTAAATCTATTTATACAAACTTTGGCTTATTTTAATATTTCATCTGCGAGTAGTTTATATTCCGTTTGTAACCCTGACCTTCGTCAAGTGACGTCTGATGTTGAGGAGCACGTGTAAAATGTTGTTGTTAGCTAAGCGCAGCTTCATTTACATGCAGAAAACTAACCTAAAATACACAACAAATATAGCAAACAACCTTACTTTGGTGAGCAGCTTCAAAAATCTGAATATTCATAGCATAGGGTAATGTAGATCACAAAAGTCGGTTGATAAATAATTAAAATTAAGATCGTAGCAAGCACTAGGCTGTTAACAACCAGACGGAAAACAAAATTTGATTTAAGTTAGACAAGAGTCATAAATTTTGATTTAAAAAGTGACGTTGCCACAACAACTTTTCCAATAAATCGACTTGCGTGCACCAGTTGAATCATATCATTAATTTTATAAAAATTTAATGTTACAACGTTAAGGCTATCTAACCCAAAACCATTTTGAAAAATTGCTGTTATTATAAAAAGGCAATCAGGAGGTGGCAACTCAATTCTGAAGGTATATTTATAATTAAATTCCTCCCATTTGCTGTAATAACAGGTGGGATGAACAGTTCGTTGGCTGATACATAGATGCTACTGATATTAAATCCATATGACCTTCAAAGGATACATGTACAAATTTGACAGCTGTCAGCTTAGTTAATGAGAACAAGCATTTCGAGTGAAGCAACTTATGTTAGTTTACAAAAAAAGGATAACAAGGAATTTTTTCGTGTGTTAATAAAGTACTGCTTTTTGGGGGAAAAACCCCGTTAAAGCCAAGGTTTGGCTTGATGAAAATTATTTGGACTCTGCACCAGGAAATTCATTCATTGAGAAGTAGTTTGCTAAGCTTCAACGAGGCGAAATGAGCATAGCACAATGTATGCTATGGACGCCCAGACGTCAGTTACCGACGAAAACATCAAAAAGGTTTAAACTTTTTTAGATGACCGTAAAGTAAATTTGTTAGAGAAAACCGAGACACTAAATATATCAATGGAACGTGTTGGATATATTGTGAATGAATATATGGATATATAAAATAAATATATGGATATCAAAAGCAAAAACGAATTGATGATGTTGAGGAGGATTTTCAAAGCTGTTCGATCGTAATAAAACCAAATTTTAGCGACAATTTGTGACAATAGATGAAACATGGCTAAATAATTTCACACCGAAGTCCAATTGACAGTCAGCAAAGTGGACTTTTAGGTTTATTTTAAGGCTAAAGACAAATTGTAATATAAAAATGTTATTGAAACATTTTGTGACCGCTATAATCGTTGTATCGCCTTTGAAGGTAACTATATTGAGTAATAAAATCAAATTTAAAAAAAATTTACCATGTTAGCCTACGAACTTTTCAGACTACCTGTTAGTCTCTTACAGTACGATTGTTAGGTGTACCTGCTTCTTCAAACGCTTAGAAGTTCTGATCAAATTTGATATAAACTGTGTTCGCAAACCGAATCGAAAATATTTTTTTTTACTAGATTGGTACTCAATTTTTTATGTTCGTGTAAAGTTTGATCTCCAATTCAATTTTTTCAAGGCTAAACTCGTGCCAAAAGCTGTGGACCCTACATTCATTAAACGCGTCAATACGGGTGACGAGACGTGGGTTTATAAATATTACGTCGAAACTGTCTAGCGAATGGCGGTCCAAAAATTAACCTAAACTGAAAAACCAAATTCGGTGAAGGCACTAAAGGCCACTAGGCTTATAACAAGGGCATGGAGCCTGGCATGTTTGTATTAGCTCAGGAGCCGAAGGCGATAATGAAGATTTGTATTAAAGTCCGGGTCAAATTCGATCAGATGCTATTAAATATACCGTATATTCTTTCAATTATACTCTTTAATTTTTGTCAAACTTATTTTAATGTGCTTAAGAAGTAAATTGGTCGCTCTGAAACAGTGATTCAAAGTGTTTCCCAATCGAAGTGATTTCATACCATAAGCACATTAAAGGTAAAGTAGCATAGCGATTGATCAAAGAAATTATGGCATTCAAAGCAAAGCGAATAAAGTTTTGCTATTTAAGATGAATTTACATAGATCAGACTCTATTTTTAAGAGAGCTCACAGTCGTATATGACTTAGAAAACATTTGAAATGGGTCCTTAACCTTTTGTAAGTTCAACTTGCCAACGTGTTACAGTTTTATTTAAAACAAATTATTTATGTATGAAAGCAACAAAATGCTTACAAAACCGGCGAAACCACCCTTACTCGCTTTCCGCCCAAAAAACTATATAAATAATTATAGATACAATTATATAAAGGGTGTTTTTTTGAAGAGGTACTCTTTTCGGAGTTGATCTTTTTGACAGCTGTTACTTGATTTATACTAAGTTTGGATTGCCATTTCATAATGAACAGACTTACTCCGGAGCAACGTTCGCAACTCGTGCAAATTTATTACCAAAATAATAATTCGGTTCGCGTGTGCCTGAATAGGGGGATGTTGATGTGGCCGACCTATGGCAACGAAACAATCATTTTATTGAAGGAAACTCTTCGTGAGAGCATTATCTCGCGTCGGTGACCTTTTGGCGGGCATCCAAGATCGTGCGGTTTAACACAGCTGAACTCATATTTGTGGGGTTATGTGAATTCGCTTGTCTACGCAAATAAGTCCGAGAGCCTTGGAAGGGGATATTCGCCGCGTTATTGCTGAATTGCTGCAAAAAGTGGTCAAAAATTGCGCCTCTCGGCTAGAATTTATTTCAGCCAGCCGCGCCTGTCACATGCTCAAAATCAGCTTTAAAACATAATTCCAAACGCTTGTCGCTATAATAAAGCTAAATTCTTGGCCAGAACATTACAATATATGCGTTTTGTTTCCTCTTGAAAACCACATGCCTAAAAACAACACCCTTTATCAACAGTATTGAAATATATACATTCACGTTTCCAAATATGGAATTAAAAAGTTATGCTGCCTGTCAAGCTTTCGCTCACAGGATTAACCTGTCTGAAAATTGTTATTTTTATATAACTTTTTTGCTTTGCAGCTAATGCGGGCGAGCTCCCGCAAAAAAAAAATATTGCCATGCACAAAAACAAGCTGACAACTAATCCACTTATACCTTCGGCAAAACATCGACAGAAAGCCAAGCAAAAACAAAATCCAGCAGCAACAAAGTGTGCGACAATAAAAAAAGGTGGGTTTGTAAAAGCTATTAATTTGTAAAAGTGTCAATTAATAGCGGCAGTTTGGGGCAGAAAGTTGAGGTGTGTGAAACAGACAAGCCGGCGCTACGTGAATTTACGACCGAAAATAAATTACGATACTGATGTATGTATGTAACTTTATGAAGCGCATACATTATATATGATTAGAGGATATATTTAAATTTTATGAAAAAAAGCGCTTTGCCACAAGCCAAGTGAAATAAGGAGCAATAACTTTAAGTAAGTGCATGTTTGCATTTAATAGATAAGCTTTAAATATATAAACCTCAAGTATAACCCAATTTATTTACGAACCCAAATGCACATCTTTTTATTCTCAGCGCGTTTAAAACCAAAGCGGCGAATGCGGCAACACATACGTGCCACGTGTGGCGAGACGTACTAAAACCGGGAAGCTGCGTGCAACGAAAGTCAATGCACAATGTTGAGTGCAGCTAAATTGCTGTAACTGTTGCTATTGCTGTTATAGCTGTGTTTTTTATATACCCTAAACAGGGTATATTAAGTTTGCCACGATGTTTGTAACACCCAAAAGCAAGCGTCGGAGACTCTATAAAGTATATATAATATTTAAATGATCGTGTGAACTAAGTCGATTGAGCCATGTTCGTCTGTCTGCTGTCTATATATATGCGAACTAGTCACTCAGTTTTTGAGATATCGTTCTGAAAGTTTTAACTCGTTCTTTACTCACCAAAAAACTGCTCATTTGTCGGAGCGGCCAATATCGGACCACTATAACATATATCTGGCATACAAATTGAAAGATCGGAATAATGTGCTTGCATGGAAAACTTTTTCATTTAACGGGATATTTTCACTAAATTTGACATGGACTGTTATTCAAGGCAACGGTGAAATGTCCGAAGAAATTATTCAGTTCGAGTCACTATAACATATATAAATATGTATAGAATTTTGTATTTGTAAAGGGTATTACAGCTGCGGTGCAAGCGAAGCTAACGTTTATTCTTGTTTTTTTTTACACTTTTTCCCCCACTTGTTTCAGCTTTTTGTGTTTATTTTGAAGCGGTCAAAAAGTACTTTACACGTTGTTGCACAATTTATGATTGTGCAGCGTGCAAGCGCTTCCTGTTGCATTTTTATCGTACCCACGTTTTAATGCGGTGTAGCTGTGTGAGCGTCTGCCTTGCTTGCTCGATGCCTTTTTGCACTTGATTTTCGGTTTGCTATTTTAGTCCATGGCAGCTACTGGTACGAGCTGCACAGCAAAGTAATACTCATAAAAGTACAGACATACCTACATTCCACCGATAACCCAATAAATCAAACTTCGGTAAAATCAAGAATATTGCAACATTCAGTTATATCTAAGAAGCCCCAGAGAGGTTTGGTTCGTGAGATACTATTGAGGAGCTTGATAAAGTGACACTGTGCTTAGAAGTTGTTAAGCAGTTCACTGAACCCGAAATCATCAAGCGACATTTGAAGTGTCACGATATGATATCAAGTAAATTTTTTTCCATACGTTTTAATATGGCCACGGGGCCTACCCAATTCAGATAGATCCAAATTTCCAAGACTTTAACACTTACAACGCACTACCATTGTATAAGTGGCTGGTTCATGTTGATTTTGTGAATCGAAAGATTTGAAATTATTATTAGATAAATACTCTAAAATTCACAAGAAAAATACTTTGGTATTGAAATTTCATAATCCTAATAACCCATTCCAGGTACTTATGCGAGAGATAAAC